AGAATTTGTTTTTCATTGGAATATTAGATGAAATTTGATGATTTCAACGACTATATTTTCAACGGCCTTTTACCGTAGGAATTTTCATTAGAATTTTTATTTTCACCCCTGTTGGAAAACCCGTTGTTGGAATCATCAAAATTCAACGGAAATTCCAATGAAAAATTTATTCCACGGAATATTTTTGTTGGAATTTCCATAATTCATTGAAAAATTTCAACAAAAGTGGAACGCCTAACGGACGCCTAGCGACTTTTAGAACACTGGTAATTGAAAATTTTAGACAAATCCACTAAATCATCAAATCACTTCAAATTCTTATCTCTTAGATATTAAATTGAGAGTTCTTTTGTTTCTCTTTTTCACCTAAGAAACCAAATTTCTTGTTGGGAATTAACTATCGACCAAATTAAGTTGATTTTTCCTTTTATAAAAGGGTGAGGATGATGCTTTCTTGCATCAATAATGAAGTTTACAAGGTTATTTCCAAATTCAAATACCTAATTTTAATACATTGATCTTTGAAAAACTTGATTATTTTCGTCATTTCTTGATTTTTTTTTATTTTTTATATTTGTAAAATTCTTGAAGATTTTTTTTTTTATTTGGTCAAGATAATTTGTTTTAGCCCGGGAATATTTTAAATTCTAGCTCTGCCCTGTCTGTCATGAGGAATTTTTTTTATTTTTTTTTTTTGGTACATGGACCTTCCAGTTTTCGGATCCACAGGAGAACCGACTAATCCGGAATCGAGTCGGGTAGGACCACAAGGGCGGCAAAGCTCTCCCTCAAGAGTTTTAACACTGCTGCATTCCCAAGGCTCGAACACGAGACCACTGGTTAAGTTGGAAGAGACTCAAACCATCTCATCCAAGAGTTCTTAGGTCATGAGATTTTTTTTGTTTGTTCTTTACTTTTTTGAAATTCTTTATAATACTTTTTCAACCACTTCTGTTGGATCCGCTATGATTCGTCAAATACAATGAATTCGTTTGTGTACAACTTAAATCCTATGTGCAGCGAGATATATAATTTATTTAAGTCGTACTGTTTATTTTAAGAGACTTTGTGCATATACTCAGCTGATAGGATCGGTAGCAGTGGCGGCAACCTTGAGATTTTCTTTTCTAATATCTCACCTCTCTCGGACATCGTGTGAGCAACGATCTACCGAACACCATAGCGACTCATTCTCCTTATGTAACTCAAACTCTCATGTGTCTCTCTTCTTTGGAGTGGGAAATTTTCGTGAACAAGATGAACAAGTTCCAACATGAAGTGTTTATATAGGATTAGGTACATTGGGTTGTGGCCAAACCCTACAACTTAGCCCATCAATAATAACTCGATTCAGTTAGAGTTACTATTGCACTACTTTTCCTGAACTCAAATTACGTATGTGCTTCAATTCATTACATTCTCGTTATATCTCCTTGTGTTTAAGATATTTAATGTTTATTAATTAATTAAACTATAAAAAAAATTAATTATATAATATTTTTTATCCAAAACTAGTAATACCACTCAACTTTATTACTACACCGGATAAAATTCACCTACGTGATTTACATAGTAACCTTTATGAGCTGATTTTGAGACATTATCTACACAACTTTCTTCCATAACCAGCAACACTATATCAGAAATACTATTCCAATTCATCGAGCTTATTGACTTAATAAACTAAACCTCACTCTTTGACGAATAAAAGAAATACATATTGAATATATTTTACCATCATTATATATCATTGTTCTAGAAGTCGCTAGGCGCTCGACCATTGTCGGAAGCTTAGACGGGGCCTATAAATTATGATTAAGTACTTTATTTTTCATTTTTTTTCACTACTTACAAAATAAAGTATCTCAACTTATAACCAATCAACATACTTAATAGCCTCATTTACTGGTGTCTTGATAGAATGGGATAAGGTTGGTTAACCCTCGTTTATTAAATAGGATTGAGATAAGGATACAGATGACGTGGCATGAGTTGGCGCACGCATGTATCCTTATTGGCTGGATAAAAAAATCCGGTCATGGTGTGATAAAATTATCATTGGTCTTAAATTACCTTTATTTAATTTAAAATAATTTTATTAACTTGAAATAGTATTATTTAATTTATAAAATCATAATTTAAATTATTCTGTTTGATTTAATATATATCATTTAATATAAAATAATTTAACTTAATTTAAAATAATATTATTTAATTTATACAATTTTAGATTAAATAATATTATTTAAAATTATTTAATTTAAAATAATATTATTTAATCTATACAATTTTAGATTAAATAATTTTATTAATATTTTACAAAAAAAGTATTGTTTAATATAAAATAATGTAAGGTAATTTAAAATAATATTATTAAATTTGTAAAATATTAATTTAAATAA